ACAGGGTATTTGTACACCCAATGTAAATGGCCTGAAACTGAAGATGGTGTCCATCATTATCCCAGAGCACAAAGCTGAATAGTCCAGTTTGTTCGAAGCAACGTGTGAATGCAGTTGGAAGAGTGTTTAAATAACCAGCCATACCTGCATGTGATTGAATTCACATGAAATTAGGGGCACTGACCTACTCCTCAGTAAACTTGCTATGGTTTCAACCAGGAATCTCAAAGCAGGCCAAAGCTAGCACTTTCTGTCTGTGCAGCAGGCAAAGTCAGTCTTGAGGAACTCCAATGAACCTCCACTAGGGTGTGAAAGACATAAGCTGTGAATGGTTTTGAAGCAGATGGTCAGACACAGGTACATAATTTCAGGCACCAATATGAGGAAAGCAGTTTCTCAAAGCTCCCTACGTAGCCTGTAAAGAATGATACCTCTGGTTCAGCAGAGCAGCTCCAAATGCTCAGCCATGGGCCTACATCATGGTCAAGGAGAGCTGAGCTCTCTGTACTGATTAGGGAGAGAGCCAGGGAAAATCAGCCTTCCCTTGTAAAAACCATCTGACATGACCCTCTCACTTAGGAGCCAAAAAGTGTATTTCTGTCCTTCTTGTTCACATGTACCTCTTTTGCTCTCAGGAGGAGCTTGCTCTCCATGCTGGGGAAGAAATATCCAGTCTACATGGGTAAGTGAAGTGCTGGTTGTAAGATCAAAGCTAAGCTCCTCCATTCAAAGTACTCCAAACAAGAACAGAGTATGGTGGTTCTTCAAGAGTTTTTTTTATTGTGTTCCCTTTGTGCAGCTTAGGGAAAACAGACAACAGGAGTTGTTTGAAATAAAGTTTTAATTTACCATCCTAACACGCAGAGAAGCAATTAGATTCAAGTTAAGTACTGTAAATAGTTACTATAATTACTTGTAAAACATTCAGCTACCTGTACATCTGTTAAAGTCAGTCGAGAACAGAACATTTTTTGGGGTTTTTTTAAGAGAAGGCTAAATGTTATTACTTAAGGGCCAAACTATTTTTGTGAACTCTTCAAAAAGTAGCTATACTATAGACACTACTGATGGAGAGCACCTGTTGGGGCACGTATTCCCTTGACAAGACTGAGTGGGTGTATCAGCAAACTGTCTGAAGAATTGTCTAGTCTTGTTTATATTTAGAGAACCTTAGACCTTCCTCAAAAGAAAAAAAAAACAAGAAAAAAAACTGCAGAAGAGTACTGATTTTCTTGGATTTGTTCTATTTATCAGGTTTCTATCCCTACTAGAAGCATGAAGAAAATATTGTCTTGTTAACATCTTTTTATAAAGAACAGTATTTTTTTTCTTTGACACTGGACAGAGTCTGGCCTGGCCTGATGCACAGTTTTATACCACATTTTGACAGGCACACAAAGCAGCTGGAGTTGCACCACTTCTGCACTGTCACACACACAGCTCTTGGTTCTTCCTCTTCACACAGAACTTCCAAAGCTTTTTCTGAACTTGGCCTTGTCGCGTCTAGTTTGGACTATTTTTGCATCAGCTGATGGTTGCTGAGCCATCCTGGTCTGCTGTTTGAGTTCTGGTTCACCTGAAACAGGTTTCTTGATGTCTGGGGGCAATTCCAACAAGCACACACAGATTGAGTTAGTTTGTCTAAGCACAGAGTATTGTGTTGGAAATTTTTTTTCAACAATATGTGACTTCCACATATGCACCAGTGTTTCCTACACCAAATACACACCTTCAGGTACCAAAAATCCTAAAACACAAATACATGCACTGTTGAGTTGTCCTACCATTTCTGAGCTTCATATCAGCTCTAATATCACTACTACAGAGAAAACAATTTGTAATGCAGGACAGGGAAGGACAGGGAAACTTTCAACAGGTAAGGGAAGGAAGAAGTGGAAAGCAAAGGAAAAAAACCCAAAAACCTAAAATATGTGCATTTCTTTAAAAAAGTTTTGTAGTGGTTTCATATAAGAAAACCCCTTTCTTACAGTTTTCTCTTTGAAATACTGGTGTCTTGCAATCCCAATATATAAAAGCATTTCCTTTTTTAAAAAATGACATATGGCAAAAATTGGTAGCAGTAAATAAATGCACATAAAGCTAAATTGTGCCATCCTAAATGTTAGTAAAAATGACAAAATAAAATACTATCTATATAAACTATGCACAGGTGTGTAGCATATTACAAGCAAAAAACATATCTTGCAATTATAAGCCCACAGTATTTTTTTTCAGTTGTCTGTAATTACATTTTTTATATGTTTGTTTAGCAATATCAATCCAAGACATCATTTTGAGGATATAATTAACTTCATGTTAGAACAGGATGTGTTAGACTGTTTTTGTGTGTTGAAAGAGACAAAAATCTTCGTTAGCTGTATTTAAGTGCCACCTAGTGTCCCAATGCACCAATTTCACTCAGAAAACCCCCAAAATTTTCAGAGCAAAATCAAGTTGCAGGGTTTAAAAAGAGCGAGGGTCATAATTCTCCCATTTCTGTGCTAACATTAAGTCTTTAATCCATATGGGCAGTAAATACAGATCTCAGGGCAGATGCTTAGTTTTTCAAATTTTTATAGCAGTGCTCCAACAGTAAACTCGCATAACGATAGAGGTATCTAATGAAGACAGAATCTGGGTGGGGGAAAAAAGGCTTTTTATAAAAATTATTGAAGGTGGGTTCTGAAAGATCCATAACATAACTGGCAACTAAGGCAGGGGCACTTAGGACATGACACACATGTAACAGTGGGACACACTACAGTGAGGTGCCAGTGCATTCAGATATGCAGGAGAAAGTCTTTCCTCACATACAGGACTGCCTCTTCCAGCCCTGTATGCTGACCATGACTCCATAGGGTCCGGAATGTCACCTGGATCGGTCTGGAATGTCACCTGGCCTGTTGGGATCAGCTGTCCTGGCTATGCCCCTCTCATCACCTTGTGCACTCCCACAAGATGGGGTAGAAGCAGAAAAGGCCTTGACTCTGTGTAAGCCCTGACCAGCAGAAATAAAAACATCCCTGATGTTTTTATCAGCTCTGTTTCCAGCACAAATTCAAAACCCAGCCCCAGATACTGTGGAGAAAATTAATTCCGCCCCAGCTCATACCAGCACCTGGGGATTTCTGGCTATAACCAGCACAATACTCCTTTTTTTTTTTTTTATAAATTTAAAGCTTATATTCTTGAAAGCTTCAGAACCAATCTAGATTAAAAAACGAGTTTATAGTTCAGTAGATGTGAACTTCACCCACTGTCACTTAAGGCAGCCATTTGAAAATTATGGCTTCCATCCTGTCTCTGTTTCCACAACACTGAACAATTGATAGTATGTGTAACTTAACTAAAACGCTCTTGGCATTCTGTCACAAATGGCATCTATAATGGTCTATGTAAACCAAAATTCAGTTTGTCTCTTTTCTTCCTGAAATTCATTAAATGCTACAAAGAAAGATTGCAGCCATTACAGAGAGCTGGCATAGCTCAAAGTAAAATATGCAAAACACTTGGGCTTTCTGTTACATTTAGTGTGACCATAACAATTAGCTTTTCGCACCATTAGAAATGAGGACTGACTCCTACGCCTCTGTGACATTTATTGGAAAGTGTTGTCTTCAAATCACAGTGATAAAAAGAAATTAAAATAACTTTTTAACGACTATTTATCCTGACTCCTACAATAAGCAAGGATAAGTTGACAAGTACAAAGAACTTCTGCTTAAAGTGAATTAATGTGAATTTGTTGCAGAAATAGAAAATGGGGGAAAAATAGAAAATATAAAGAGATTTAAAACACAAGAAAGTTTCTGATCAGCAGTAAGAAAAGCTTGTGATGAGTTGTCTAAAAGTAGGATGAGAGAATGTTTAGATAGAAAACATTTAGACAGGACAAGCACTTTCAGAGCAGCTTTTAGAAATCTGCAGCTGCACATGTGCGTAAATCTACTGGGCACAAATGAAATGGATAAAAAAACCTTTTTCAGCTTTATCTAGCTTGGAATTTTTTGGTTTGTGTTCTCTGTGAAGGACAAAATATTTACAGAAAACAAGGTGGATTAATTGTGCTTTTTTTATTTGGAGTATATTTTGATGTAAGTTTGTTAGAAAGGACTGGACTCTACTCAGCAACTCCAGCTTTGAGGCCGGGAAGGAACTAGGCTGTGACACACGGGCAGGATCACACCAGAAGGTTTGGAAACCACTTGGAGAGCCGGGCTGGCGCTGCCGGGAGCTCTCCCTGGGTCGGACATGGAAGGCTCTGCCTTGCACAGAGGGAGGAACCATTGTTTTAAGCGCAAATGCCAGCAGCAGGAGTTCCGGGGACTCCGGGCCCCGAGCCCCGTGAGGATGAGCGCGAGCGCACACCACCCGCTCCTCCCGGCCGCCCCTCAGCGCTCCCGCGCTCCCGCCCCGGGCCGTGATTGGTCCCGCGCCGCCTCGCTCCTCCAATCCCAGGGGCGAATTCCGTTCCCGCCCCCGCCTGGTCCTGCCCACCGCAGTGACGGCTCGGCTCCACCTTTCCGGCCGTCTCCATGGCAGCGGGGGCGGGGGGTGTTTTAAGGCGTCCCGGAGACCATTGCGGGTGGTTGTTTTCCTTTTCGAAGCCGGCGAGGCTAAAGGTAAACTAGCTAGTGTATTTGGTATCTTATTTTTATTTCCTGACTTATTCTCCCCTAATCATATAGGACGGTACCTTTCAACGAGACCGTAAATCCATTCCCACCCCCTTTCCCAATGGTAGGGCGCAGGCGGTGCGCGGCCCCGCCGCGGCCGTGCTGCTCCCGCCCTGTTAGGGCCGCGGCCTGAGGGGGAGCGGCCGCAGGTCCTGCGGTAGAAGTGCCGTCCTCAACCCGAGGGGCTTCCCCGGGGACTGCTGGAGATCCGGGAACTGCCCACGGAGGTTCATCCCGGGCTGCCTCAGGCCTTGGCATCCGCCCAGGGCAGCGGTCGCCCCACGGTGCAGCGAGCGGAGGATGCTCAGGCTGGTGCCGGTTTGTCACTCACGGTGGTGCTGGTTTATTGCTCCTGTTATAAGCTATAGGCGCCCTTAAAGACAGGAGGCACATGCGGCGGGATGCTCTGCCTTCTGTCGCCGGTAAAGGTGTGTCGCAAAGAGCACGAAGTGCCCCGGCTGAAGGAAGGAGTGCTGAAGGGGTGTGCTCCGTGTTAAACAAGGTGAAGCATTAGCAACAGGCCAGGTGGGCAGAAGTGTTTTCAGAGTGCGGTAAAACATACATCCCTAGAAGATGCACCCCAGCGTCAGCAGAGGCCACGTGTAAATCGCTGGTTTCAGAGTTAGGTGTGACACATGATAGTGAGGAGACCTTAGCTAACGTTATCTTGATGAGCTCTTTTAGTTCTCCCACCCTTTGACATTGTGTAATTGTGACAAGTTATTTAATTTCACTTAAGGTGACGATAACGCAGTCACCTCTGAGGTGAAAAAAAAAAATAACCAAAATATTTTCAGTCTTCTGAAAAATGCTGTAGGATCTTTATTTGCATCAGTGGGCAGCTGATCTCCTTAATAGCTCAGAAAAAAACTGTAAGTTCTAAACAATTTGAACACAGTTTCCTATGAACAGGTCCCTGTATCTGTGAGAAGTAGTTTACAAGTATAACTGTGTTCAGTGTAATGTGATAAAAGCCAGAAATCAGTAATGTAAACAGTAATAGACAATTTATGTAAGCACAGTGTGTGTGTGTGTGTGGTTGTAAGCATCTGAAACTCGAGAAAACTCAGTGCTGAATCTGAAACTGAAAAAAACTGGTTTTCATAAATTATTAGAATATAGTAGCATTTTCCTAAAACATATTGTGAACATTAGTAGTGTGAATGTATTCAAAGCACATTGTAGCAATGTCTTGTGGCAGGTTTTGTGTAGATGGCTGACATATAGATATAATGTGTGCAGCTTTTTAACCAGAATTGTTTAATACTGGAAAGTGTATGTTAATGTTCATCTTCAGAAGATTTTAATTTCACTTGGTTTTCCTTTTGTAGAGTACAAAACCGGGGCAAACAACTGAAGATGTCATCATGTTTGGCTCAGGAGGTTCACCTTGCTAAAAGACATGAGGAGATGTGAGTAGTTGTGCTCTGCCTCACAGCAGGTTGTGTAGTGTCTTGTAATATTCTCCCTCCCTGCCCACGACCCTCGGTGCCAGTGAATCTGAGCTCTGCAGAGCGCAGTGGTGCTTCAGCAAGGGGCTGGAGTTCCAGGAGGTGGCACTCTTCCTTCAGGAACCATGGGAATTAGCATCCTTTGCCTGCCGTTAAGGGTATTTAGGTTGATGAGGTTTTTGACTTCCAATGGTGGTACTGGTTTAAGGTCTCTATTGTTAACCTGTCACCATTCAATTCCTATGTGGGGAAGGTAATTGGATTCTCTCACTCAATGCCTCAATTATAGACTTGCTTCTTTGTTGCCCTGTAAACTCAAATTGTGAGGCAAATACAGTAGTGATTCAGGAAAATTTGCTTTTCTTGTAACAACTAGTAGGTGCCAAGAGCAAATGTAGTACTGATCAAGTCACCCCAACCCACCCTGTCTTTCCTTCTTCTGGGAGATTCAGTGTTTCTAAGCACCTAGCATTTGAGGACTGCTAGTTGCAACATTCTAGCTTCGTACAAGCACAGCAGGTGATGCCTGCCTGTACCTTTTCTCTCCCCCAGCACACCCACCCTGCAGGCGGATTAATTAGCCCCATAGTTTTGAGAAAACTGGGTAAGGTAAAAAGGTTATTTTCTAGCTCCTGAGCAAAATGTTCTACCCACTTAGCAAAATGTTTTCCTTTGTAGACTGTCTCAGAGATCAGAGCTGCTACAGCAGATGGAGACTTATCTAAGAGACAAAAAGACTAAAAAGACATGGCAAACTCAAGCAGCTGATGCAGCTCGTAAAAGGAATGCAGCACTTTTAAATGTAAGTTTCTGCAACTACCAGGAACCGCATCAAAATGTCACGGTTATGTAGCTTAGATAATTAAAAAAAAAAAAAAAAAAAGATAAGTGTTTGCTCTATAGTTGTCATTTGAATTCTCTTCTATATGGTTCCCTCTTCTGGAACTTGACCAAAAAGTATTAAATGACAAGTCTTTATTATCCGATGGCATCACTACCTATTTCCCGTGCCCTTCTTATGAAAGCCTCGTGGTGGCAGCTGCTACTATGTATTTTTATTTTTTTTTAAGCACAGTGGAGATGTAACACATGCTAGTACACGTCTGCCTGAGAGAACTTAGGGGTCTGTCAGTACTCACAGTCCCTCTACACTTTGATTCAAGACATGGGGGTATGTTTGCAAATAGGCTGACCAGGCTGCAGTGCTTTGGGCCAAGGGTAGGAACTGTTCTTCTACTGTGGATGTGTTAAATTGTTGAAGAGGTTCTCAGTTTAATTTTTTTTCTCTAAGGAGATGTAGGGTGACTTCAAGCATTTTACTTTCAAGTCTGTAAAAGCAGTGTTTGGTGCTTCTGGCTTTTCGTAGGGGTGACACCATTAATAATGTAGAACAGTTCATAGCTGTTTTACATAACTCTTGTCATATTTAGGTAAGATTTGTTTCCTAGGCAATTAAAAAGATCTAAGTTTGATGGCAGGGACCAGAATACTGAAAGGCTCCTCTGAAATCCCTAGCTCAGGCACCTGAGTTTGAAGAGATGCACTTGACCACTGACACGATGCATGTGAAAAATCTGTCGGTTTTTCAGGAGACAGCAGAAAACTGAACATCCTGTGCCTTTTCTTTAAGATTCTACTTATCAAGGATCCATAATACATGTATTATATTTATTGAAAAAGTAAGTTTTACCCGAGAAAATCACAAGATTAATTTGGGTTTTTTTCGTGCAGAGCCTGGTTCAGATTTAAAACGTTCGCATTTTGGGTGGGTATAATTCTATTGCTTTAGAGCTTGCATTTAAATGGGAGGTTTATTTAGAGAGGGGCAGACAAGGAGAACAGTTAGCCAGGAATGCTTCTTAACTATTTTGTGACAAAGAAGATATTTCAACTTGGGCTGGTGAACTGGTACATTTTGCACAGGGGCAATCAAGCTCCTCTTTATTGGGTGTAGTAAGTGTAGGTGCTTCAGTGAGTGCCTGAGGACAAATGGATGGTTTGGTTATTTTTTCCATAGCTCCTATTCTGTTGGTTTATTAATTTCAGCCATTATGACTCCCATTTTCCATGGGCATTTTCGGTTAGATTTTTACTTTGTAAATATAGGGGTTTATAAATTATTTGTGTTTATGAATGCATTCTCAGTTTACATATGCAGGCAAACACAATAAATGCAGAATGTATTTCTCCATCCTGAAAGCTTTATTATATTGCAAATGGTAACAATAGCTCAGACATATACAGAGTGTAAATATTTCTGCAGTTAAACAGATATTTGCTATCTTCTGTCACATCCTCAAAATTGTTCCTTTCAAGTGTCAAAAATGTTGGTGTTTGTACAGAAAAAAAGCAAAAACATATGTATCAAAACAAATTCTGTTGCAGGATAAAATAGCATAAATCAATTTAAATCTATTAATTTTATCCTGGTTTTAACAAGCATGCACTCCTGCAGATGCTTTTTGATAACAGAAGAAAACAGGAAAAAAAAATCTATGCAGCATAATATATGAGAAGCTTGAAAACAAGACTGATTAATGTGCCAGCTTCAGAATATTGTTCCTGATACCAGGCACTGTACATTTCACAGTTACCATGTGGAGAGTTGTTGATTTGGCCTACTCAAAAATACATGGACATGACGAAGTGTTATTTTTTTATTTGCATTTCTGGTTTTCTGCATGTAAGCAAAAATCAGTTGTTTTCAGTAATAGATCATAGCAAAAGCCATTTTTCTTTCTCTGCGCTAGTTGGAATTTATGCACAGGAAAGATTTCAAAATTAATTTAAATTCTAATCAGTAGGAAGCAAGGAACTAACCTTTTTTTTTTAATTGAAATTTTGACATTATAAGCATTTGTTCAGCATTTTAGCATAATTATCAGAGTATTTTCAATGTCTTTAGAGGGAGACTGCAGATTAGGGAAATCTGTATCATTTGGTGCTTATATAATGTTGTCGTAATAAAAGCAGAAATTAGACTAGTATTTGTAATCTAATTTATGACATTTGTTTCTCAGTGATATTTCTTGTGTTTAGAAATATGTATTACTGTGCAACAGCTTGGAACATGAAATAGAAAAGAAAGAGTATGCTATATAGTAATTAGTACTGGAAAGGTAATTTAGAACAAATTTGCTTTCCTTCCCGGGCATGCAATTCCAGAATTATTTAAGTGTGATTGTGCCAGACTGATATCAATATAAGTGACAGCTGAATTTGGTCCCCTAAAAGCAATGTATGTGTCATGCATTCCATTTTACCTCTGGGGAAGGGTCTTGAATTGTTTTTGTTCCAGTCCTTGTGGTTTTAGGGGAAGCACTGTAAGATGCTCTCTTTTTTTCAGTACTGTGACATATTAGATTAGCTGGTTTTTTTCCAAAGAAGTTTATACTGCTGATGTATTTATTTTTATATTGATGACAGGGATTTATTTTTCCTACAAAGCTTACCAGTTGTGTAGACACACAAGAAGTGCCATCTAATCTTTCAGTAGTTCTAGTTATTTTCTAAAGCATACTACACCTTCCAGCAAAAATTTCTTTCACTGTCTGTCATTAAATCAGTATTCTGAATGACAATAGACTGCACAGCACAAACTGGAGTGAGCAATGAAAAGACACGTCCAATATCTAGGCTATGCCAAAGTGACCTTCTCTACTAAACATATATGCACAACTGCTGTCTCCTTTCTTGCCTGAAAGACATTCATTTCCTATCACCATAAACATTCCAGTTACTTTGCTGAGTCTGTAAAGAAATAATGATTGATATTCTTCTCCTTCCTGTTAAAATTCCTACAGCAATTAGGAAGAAGGATTCAGAAAGTAGGAAAATCCAGTGGAAGAATATGAGGTGAACATTATTGAATGATCCTTTATTCAGCATGGTTTGTTATGGTGATAACTTCTCCAGTCTTGGCCTGAGCCATTCTGATACGAGCTTCATTTGCTGCTGTTTGTGTGTACCTGTTCTAAGGATGTGCAACAGAAAAATCCCTTGCTTAAGTCACTTAAGTCTGTGTTGGCCTCTGGCATTTTGACATTGTGATTTCAAATGGCCTATGTCCTTTTTCTTGTTCCCTCTATAGGTTTATCTCATTAGTCTTTTCTTACCTGAGAAGGGGCAGCCATTTGCTGCTTCTGAGAATTTGGATAAATCTGAGAATTAGTTTACTCTTTCTTTACTCTCTCTTATCCTTTAGCTTCCTACGGTGGTATGGATTTTGCTGTAGAAAAGGGAGAAACAATTTTGTTTGGATTAGGTTTGTAATTATGTACAAGAGAATATTGTAAAAGGAATTAATGAAATAAAATGGACACTAAACTGAACAATCTGACTGTATACATGTCACTAAGTTGAACTTCAGCAAGTCCTGTTTTTTGCTTTTATTAATTATACTCTACTGAACTAAACTTGAGATAAACACTGTTTGCTTATTGATGTATTCAGACTGGCTATTATTCAATACGAGTAATCATGTTTGGTCTCTCTTGTGGATATGCTCCTCCAGAATCTCACTCTTCTTTTCAGCAGCAGTGGTGGTGAATATTTGGGAAGTCCCTTTGGGGAATTTCCTCTCTCATTTAGTTTTTCTGTTGTACTCTTCACACCCGCTCTCTGCTCCCAACTCTGCCATCTGCTATACTTTCTTTCCCCCTCCACTCTGTTCAGCTTTGGCTTCTTCACACCCCACTCCCACGTCCCTTTCTGTCTCTCTTCATCTGCCCACCACTCAATCTCTTCAATGTTTGGGTATGGAACTAAGCCCACAAGAACAGGTCAGAACTTTAAAGGGGGAGGGTGGTTAGTTTGGGGGCATGCTTTGATTTGTTTGTTGCTGTTGATTTTTTTGGTTGTTTCTTTTTTAAAAGATTTATTTGGGCCTCTGTGAATCCAGCACACATCCACTGGACAACCAGAAACCCAAATACCGATTTTTTTTTTGTAAGAAAACTATGTGAGGTGCATTGTCATCCAAGCTTGTCTGGTGAACAGCTTGCTGCAGCTCTACATTTATGTGCACATGTTATGCATGCATATTAGCAAGTCATCTTTGTCTTGAGAAGTAAAGATCTTGCACATAATTTGCCTAGTTGCTTTACAGTTACAGTAGCTAGAATACATACTTCAGTCTTACGCAGCACAGAAAAAGATGTTCCATTCCCCTCTATTTCCTTGAGGTTTATACAACAGAATTTAACTAATTTACCCTGGTGTCCAGAGAGAATAGCAGTGTTTACAGCAGAAGTCTTACTTGGTTGTGAAGCATACTCTTATATGAAAAAGGTGCAGAAAACATATTAGCAGCTGGAGGGTGTTAGTCTAAGTAGTACAAGTTGTATTTCAGAATGACTAAACAAATATTTGAACTTCAGTGTGAATTTTTGAATGCTGTTTAGCTGTAATGGGTTTATTTAGTTAATTTAAATGTCTTTATATGTGTATTTTTCTTTTAAAATTCCCAGTGTTTGTTTTTAAAATGTACTTTGCTTGTGTTTTAGGATATAGAAGTAGCAGAAAAAAGGCTGCAAGAAGGAATGTATTTACTTCCACATCCTGATACTGTTAAGTTAGAAGTAAGTCCTACAATTCCTTTTTCATTTGTTTTCATTTGCTGTTTACCAAATATTTTGCTTTTTTTTTTCCCCTGAAGCATGTTCTTAAAGTGAAAATAATTGATTTTAAAATCCAGTGACTGGTATAGCCAAAGGCCTGTGTACTGTGTAGCAAGCTGAACCTAAATTCTGGGACAAGGTCCTTAGATTCTGGAGCATTCTGGTGGAAATGTTTAGCAGCTTTCAGATCTATACAAACTTCTATTTAAAAATTAGGTCAAATATAAAAAATTAATATTATGAATATCAGAAGATTACTGTATTTACTACGTCAGAGCTATTTAGTTTGTATTATATGGTCATCCCATTCTCAGTTTACCACAGATTGTCATCTTTACATTTCAGGGTCAACAGTTCATCAGCATGAACAGAGAAAATTTCACATCAATTATTTTAGAGTTGTGTGGAAGCTTATGAAAAGTACCACAGCGGGAACACTTGGTTCTTTTTTTTTCTTCTCAACCTGCACTCCCCAAAGCATTACTTCAAGATAAAAATGTTGAGCAGATTCCCATCTGTTTCTTGCCCCAGTGGTTTGTGTGTTGTGTGCTGTGGGGTGGCTTGGTTCCCAAAGGCACAGGAGCAGAGTGTCCCGTGCTGGTTTGGGTGCCGGGGCTGTGTCAGAGCAGGGCGAAGGGCCAGGTTTCAGCGCTGTCAGCTGTGAAGAGAGGTGTATTGTACCTCAGCTTCACACCTGCTGGGCAAGTGTTGGCATGCTTAGGCTATTACTTAAAGGAGAGGCATCACTTCTTGTTCTGGTTACTGTTCAAAGTTTTCATCTGTCATTGCATTTTTGTAAATAGCCTCCTGTGACTGTGACAGGGTGCACACCGGGTAGGCCCCTTCAGTGGTGTTTTTATTATTTTTAGACATTTTTAGGCAAAAGGGTACATTTTTCCTGAATACTTGTACATTTTGAATGATGCTAAGGAAGATGCCAACCTACTAATATTAAACATTAAACTTATTTTGACTGTGTTCAGAAGTAGTTTTAGACTCTTCAATGACTTTGCAGACACCTCTGGAGTTGTTTGGGTCAGTTAGTCCCATGGTAGGTGTGAAGCTGCTTGTCAAGCAAAGGCCGCAGAAATTGGAATTGCAGAGCGATTGCTTGTGGCTGCAGAATGTCTGCACTCTGCAGCAGTGGTGAAATTTTGGAGAGAACAGAGTTACTATTTGAAGGAGAAGATCCTATTTCAGCTTTTTTTTTTATGCTTCTAGAGAAGAGTGCTATAAATAGTGGAAAAAGAAAACTTTCTTTCATGGTACAAAATTCTTGTGCGTGCTTTGTTCCAAAACACTTCTGAGCATATTTCACTCAGCCATATATGTGTCTGTATTAATATACTCTGAAAGTTATGGCTATAATGGATCCCCAGCTTGCTGAGTCGGAGTAGTTTTGTGTGACAGCACATATGCTTGTCAAAAAAGATTCTTTGAGTAAATCTGTTGAAGAAAATATTTTTGTAAACCTGCAAGTGCCATAGTTATATCTGAGTTACATGTAAGGATCAAAATGATTAGCCAGGAATCTAATACTTTGCAGGGAGATCTTCAGTTTTATGTTGCACTTCTCTTTCATTGCATACTTAAATAAAATAAAAAGGCTCACTATATATGAATCATAACTGTTTTCTACTGCAAAATTACATTTTTCTGAATGGACATCAGTGGCAATAAATACATACATGGATGGATTAAAGTGTTATCTTAGCACGGTTCCTAGATCATGTTATTTTGTGGGGAAAAAATGGCACTTAAAATTTTCCTGAAAATCCTACAAACAAGTTATCCTTAGGATACCAACACAAAAATGATCAATTATTAATAACACAGATAAGTAATATGTTAAATTTATTACTCTGAGGTTCAGTGTGAGGAAGTAAAGAGGAAGGGTTAGATGATCCACAGTGATTCTCCTAGACCATATGCTAAATATACATCACCCTTTTTTATTATTATTTTTATCTGTGTTCCAGATACTTGAGATGATTACTTTATCAGTGAGTTATCAAGTCTAAAATTTTACTCAATCATTTTGAACCATAGTTCTTTAAAGTACTATAAACTTTTATAGGATAATCAATTTACATTGGTAAATGTGCAGCTTTCATTTCTAACATTTTTTTCCCCACTGCAAAATGAAATTCCAGTGACATACATACTTAAATATAAAAGCTGCTTTTGGAAAAGTATATAATCGTGGAAAATAGTTTATTAAAGGTACTGTAAGGTCTAAACTGATGTTGCTTACCACAAGAGGGCACATTCAGTCACTTCACAGTTTGTCCTGCAGAAGGAAATATTTCCAAGCTGATATTTTGTATCACACAAGAGATTAAAAATTTCATATGTTAAGTACGTTGTTCTTTTCTGAATTGCTTCACTCTTAAAGTAAGATTTAATAATGCATTGCATTTCTATATTGTTTTAAACTGGCTGACACAGATTTTGAAATTAAGTTTATTTTTTCTTATATCTTTCTCAGACTCTCTATTTGGCATCAATAAAAGAATCTCTTCCCAAGTGGGAAGACTTTCTTTTAGGAAGAGCAGAAGTTCCTATTGGCTTTAAGGAAACGAAAGCTACAAAGCAGAGCATAAACTACCCTGAAGAAGATTCACAAAAATAAACATTTTAGTTTCATTTTGTTTTGTAATTTATCACTTAAGCAGAGATCATCCAGGTCGGGCAACAGAATATCATTCCATTAAACTGAAATGTACATTATTTAAATGAAAATGAATTATATAGGACAATTTCATTCTATTGTTGCGTTGTGTACAATTCCTTATTTTCATTCTGTACTACAGAAGCAATCCTCAAATGAGTTTTTAGGATCAAGAATGAGAAACATTGATGTATAGATTTCCAGCAAGGCAATTGGGTTTTCACTGTGAGAAGAGTTTTACGTTATTTTTAATCCTCTGCTTCTACATATAAGTGCGATAAGTAAAGACAGATTCTTGCATTATCTTTCTTCACTTCAGTCATCTGTGCTTCATGCCTGCTCGTGGATGAGAGAGAAAGGAAGAATTTACTGTTAGCAGAAAAGGCAGACTGTGCATCAGAGTAGCCTTGGTTAAGCACCAGGAATCTGTGCAAGAACCTTCACGAGAGCAGTTATGGAAGGAACTTGAATTTCTGCATCTTGTTTTCTCTGGGTTTTTTTTTTTTTTTGTCATTGCCACTTTCATCACTCGTACACCTCACTCCAGGCAGCTTTTCTCAACTTCCTTCTGCCTACATTGTATTTCTTGTCTAAGGGTGGGCAAACAAATCTCTGGGGCTTTTTGCTACTTCTAGGCTGCTCTTAATGCTATTTTCTTTCTGCTGATACAATCTAAAAAAAAGTGAGACCTTTTTCTGAGGCATGAAAAGTTTGAAAGAAGCAAACTGAAAGGTAACTGGCAGTGGCTGTCCAAGAACAAAGCATATACAGAAGTTGAGGATATATTTTCATTTTCAGCCACTGAACAGCTTCCCATCTTCCTCCTACAGGTGCAGTTTTAATTGTACTGAGCTAACTAGGTATGAAAAATTCACTCGTACAAAACTTCTGAAAGTGTTGCTTCAGTGGAAGATCCTGCCTGGTGTGTGACATAGCCTGCAGAAAATGAATCTTTCCTAAGCAAAAGAAGCCTAGAAAATATTAATTTATTTTACTGTTAAGAACCTGGACTTGAGTCAATATACTTTTAAAATTTAATTTCCTGCAACAACACCATTCCACCCCCAACTTGGAAGTAGTAGAGGAAAAAAAGTACCTTTGCCAATGTCTGAGGATATGAAAATGTAATGGTTGCAAATATTGCTAGTCTAGTTATCTAGGCAATGCATCTTCATACTACCTAGAGAGAGACCTCACTATTAAAAAAACATATCCCTGTGCAGCATGAAGACTCACTGGCACAATAAAATCAAAACTTTAGGTGCAATATAAAATTGCTGTATATTTTCCACAGGAATACTAGGAGTTCATTTTAAACTTTTTTCTATTGAAGTGTCCATTAAACTGATAACTTTTTACAGAAACTGCCATCTTAGAATTATCCTGTTGAGTGGGTGTTGGTGTTTGTAACAATAACGTTGTTTTCATAATATGTGATGGCAGATTAGCACGCTTCTCTGCAGTGTTGTTAACAGTTGTAATTAAGGAATAAACAGTAAAGGGTGTCAGTCCGATGACAATTTCATCTATAGTGTCACAATACAAAATGTCACAAAATATTAGAACTGTTATATAACTACAAAAATATCAAATTAGGCTTTCATCTTACAAGCTGAGAGCTTAAAAAAAACTTGGCATAGAGACCATTGCAATTTTATACCTACTCAGTGTTCTGTCACAAAGACAACTTGGTAATATTTTCTTCTGTAAAATCACAATGTGATTCTCAATCTGATTTAGTGGGAATGTGTATGGATCTTGCAGTTGTAGCGCTCCTGTTTAAAAAGCAAATAATTGGAACCAGTTGAGCACACAAGAAGGGAAAACCTATTATACATGATGCTCAGAATGAAGGAATGGATGAGCAGTTAGTTACTGACAAAGAATGGGATTCATCCTCTTCTTTGCATCCAAAGGGAAATCACTTCAACAAAAATCTGGGCCCCTAAGTACTTTATACATGCAAATAATCTGGGTCTTTATCTCCTCCGACTCCGCCTAAGCACTGGGACACAATGCAGATGCTCACTATCTCCTTGCCCTTGTGATTTCCCCTGGAAGGAGATGCAGGTGTATGGACACTGAGTGCATGGCAGCTCCATGGGTGAGAATTTGGCATGAAAGGCGCCTGCAAGCAGGGTTAGAGTAGTTACCTACTGTGCTGCAGTTTGGTGCTCACATAGCGTGTCTGAGAGTAAAACAAAATTATCTTCAAAGAAGGAATTTAAATTTATTTCTTGGAGCATAACTTTAGAAGCAATAGGACAACTAGTTCAAGGAAAACTGTAGGAACATGTGCAGAAAAGGAAAAACTGAATGAAGAGAAACATTTAAATGAGGCATGTGTGTAGGTGACTGTTCGCAGAGACGAGTACCTTCATGTTGTTCTGTGGTTGGAACAAATAAGTGCAATTGTCAATGACTGTGAAATAGCACAGTACAGGAGCAAGTGACTGCTGAGCTGGGGCAGGCAGTGGCAGGGACCAGAATTATATGGTCTCTCCTGTTCTACTTATATTTGTTGAGTTTAATGTACCGTGGCTGGGGTAGCTTGATACTTGCCTTTTTAGAGATACAGATTTGAGAAATAAAATGTTAAATTTTAGTGTGCTTTGAAAAAATTTAGGAATCCCCCAAGGTGATTTATATTAATGTGATCTAATATTAGTCTCCTATGAGATCTTGAATGGGTAATCTTCACCAAGTCAAGGCTGTCAAATATATTGATTCTATGTAGTTATACCCCATCTTATCCCAAGCTTATATATATATATATATCAAAAAATAAAAAATATAGAAATTACATCATATATATCTTCTGTAATTTCCTACTCATCGTGAGTACATTTTTTTCTCAAAACCCTCACCAACACCCCCCCCAAAAAAAATATCTGATAGGTGAGGGACAGCAATTGAGTAAGGAGTAGTGAGAAAACCCTAAAGTTTTACCTGTTTGTAAGTTAACCTTGGAGTATCTTGCAAGAAGAAATAATTAATCATACTTTTCTAGGTTAATGCACAGATGAGTAACCCCAGTACTAACCCAGGAGCACAGCCTGTTCACCCATCTTGTCACCTCTACCATCACATTCCCAAGCTTTTTACTTTCTCAGTTATTCTGGCTGTGGGGGCAGGAGCAGAAGGCAAGGCATGTTACTTTTCCCTAGCATAAGAAATTTCTTACTCTGCAGAATCTTTCATAAGCCTATTAATTTAATTTGTGAGTATATTTGAAATAGTAAGTTGGTTTAGATGCATATCTGACACTATGGCATCCTCTTGATTGTATTTATTTAGGGTCATGTTTTCATAGAAGTTGGGAACTAATTTTTAGGCTGAGGTTATAGTACTTAATTTCTGTCTTTTTCATTCACATAGAGCAGGTTGGGGATGTAGATGCTCAGTTTGAGCTTGTTGGTACTGAAAAAATAAGAAAAACAAATTTAAAATTGAATGTACTTTTAGAGGTTATATCTGAAAGAAAACATTATTTACTCCATAATGGTAATTTTCATAATATTTTAATAGTTGTGTTCAGATACAACTTGACCTTAAATATCACCCCAAATGCAAGCTGTTTTAACATATTTGTAATGCTAAGGTCTTCATTACTGTGATATTCTGTTTGCTCAAGGATTATAATCCATGGATATACTGTGTTATAGTTGAAATAAAGCTTTGATCCTGTAGTCACTGCCTCTTGGATCTCAGTGCTGCATTGCATGTATGAGTTGGATGTAAGTTGGTGCCTGCTGCAGCCAAGTGTGAACAGTGAGTAGGCCAGTGATAAACACTTTGCTTAGGTATGATGTTTATTTTCCTCTGACTCTGATATGAAATATTAATCTGCTGAGTGAAGATTAAAATCTCAGATGTTTTTGATGAAAAATCCAAATGTAACGAATCCCAAATCGATTATTTGCACTCTTCCTATTGTTTCATAATGTGTGAGCTAAATTACTTCAGATACGCTTTTACTAGGAAGATGTAGATACATCCTTAAACCCTTGCTAAGGAAACAGGTGGGGGAAAACGGTTCTTTAGTATATCCTCCTGCTGTGTGAAACTCTTTGTCTTTGCTATAAATAGGGTGATTTAATTTGGGAATTTGCTACTCCTTTTAAACACAGTTAAAACAGCTCTTGAAAATGCGCTAAGCTGTGTAAGCCTTCCAGTTGTAGCTTTTGCATTTGACTTACTTTGAATACGTCTGTTTTTAACGCATACAGATAGAAAGTATACTCACTTCTTCCCATAAGTTTTATCGCTGTGATGATGATCTTAAAAATAAATGTGTGATGTTCTTTCCCCTCACTCTCAGTCGTATCACCTACCAGAAAGCCCTAATAAGCAACAAAATAGTGTGAGACAGTATTTACATCACACTTTTGAAACAGATTCAAGCAGAGCCAGCTGCTGTAAGATTATTTTACGAATCTATTGTAAATTAATAAAAGGGAAAAACTGCCTTCCTTTAGGTAAATTACAGTCTCTTTTACTAATTACCGTAGCTTGAAGCCGCAGTAAATAAGTACCTGCCTGACTGCGGTGAATGGGAAATGAGAAATGTAATTTTGGTAACCAGACTTGCCTTTCTTTACCCATTTAGTTCGTACGTGTTCCAATAGCTTCATTCACGGAGCTCTGACTGGTGCTCAATAAAAGCTTCCGGAGGATAATGTGTTCAGAGTGAAGCACATGAAGCTTTGTTCAGCGCCGGGGAACCTGCGCGCTGCGCTCCGCGGCCGCGCTCGCCCCGCGCCCCGCTGCGAGGGGAGCTGCTTCCAGCCGGGGAAACGCCGAGCCGAGTGGGAAAGGGAGAAAGGAGGGAATGAAAAACAGCCAA